AGACAGTACCAGACAGCACCAAAGACAGACGGTACCAGACAGTACCAAAGCACACAGACAGTACCAGACAGCACCAAAGACGAGACAGTACCAGACGGTACCAAAGACAGACAGTACCAGACAGTAAAACCAACGACAGATGCTGCGTACCAGACAGCTACTTCAAAGACAGGCGTGCAGACAGTGACCAACGACAGACAGTACCGGAGACAGCGCAAAGTACCAGACGAGTACTCCGAACAGTCACAAGACAGACGGTACCAGACGGTACCAAAGACAGGCAGAACCAGACAGTACCAACGACAGACGGTACCAGCGAACAGCACCAGCGACAGACAGTACCAGATACAGCAGTCAAAGACAGAGACAGTACCCAGACGGTACCAAAGACAGACAGTACCAGATACAGTACCAAAGACGGGCGGTACCCAGACGGTACCAACGGCAGAGACAGCACCGAACGGCACCAAAGACAGACAGTGCACCAGACGGTACCAAAAGACGGGTCGGCACCAGACGGTACCAAAGACAGACAGCACCAGACAGACAGTACCAGACGGTACCGAAGACAGACAGCACCAGGAGCAGACAGTACCAAAGACAGGTACCGAACCAGACAGCACCAAAGACAGACAGTACCAGACGGTACCAAAGACAGACAGTACCAGGACAGTACCAAAGACGAGACAGCACCAAAGACAGACAGTACCAGACAGTACCAAAGACGAGACAGTACCAAAGACAGACAGTACCAGACAGTACCGAAGACAGACAGTACCAGACAGCACCAAAGACAGACACTACCAATGACAGATCAGTACCAAAGAAAGATAGTACAGACAGAACCCAGCCACCTTAATCCAAAACAGAATCAAAGCCACCGTAAGCTAAACAGACACAATCTACACATCTAGACCAGCCACTTTCGCTATTTTTAAAACGCTAAAAACGTCAGCTATCAGTCTTGCTATCCGTCTAATCAATATCAAAACATTATCCTTTGTTCTGCAGGGATTACGGTAGCTTCTGTAGGGATTACGGTAGCTTTGTTCCCCGTCGGGATTACTTTATCGGATTAGTTATATTGAAAAGAGAAGGAGAAGAAGCTACCTATAATCAGAAGTTTTTCAGGCAGTTTACGCTCGTCGAATCCACGAAAATTTGCTATCCCGTGGCTCGGATTCGGCAAAGATCGAATCAATTCTTCAAACTTTATCAAAATTGGCTCAAGTTTGAAGAAAAAACAAGAAATTTATCGTTTTTTTTCGCACAGGATAAAATCTTCGTTTACGCTTTTTTGAAAAGCGAAACACTAGGAATAATGTACGAGATGTTGGCGAGGGAATTGGATAAGCTGTGAGTGAATTGGATAAGCTGTGAGTGGATTGGATAAACTGTGAGTGGATTGGATAAGCTGTGAGTGGATTGGATAAACTGTGAAAGCTGCTAGAAACAGAGCTAAACTAGCACTAGGATTTACGAGAGTTAGAAGTCTAAACACCCTTGTTTCTTTTGCAGAAGTTTCCCAACGATTCAACTCCTTCTCCAATCGCTTTACTCGATGATGGAGTTGAACGTCGACGTAGCTCAGCTGGGAAACGATTCCCGAGGATGTTCGTTTAAGGATTAAGTTTAAGGAAATGATCTAGCGTCGAGATTGCTTCAAGCTTACTTTAAGCTTTACTTTAAATCCCAATTTCTAGGTTTTACTTTCATTGTGCCGTTTGGTGACGGGTAGAGCGAAGAGCGAAGACGCACAATCCGTGCTTTTCGCTGAGTGGAGTATCGAGCAGATATTGAACACGACCAAGTGAGAAAACTATATAAGACAAGTATTGTAGAGCATTCTAGAGCATTCTAGAGCGTTGTAGAGCATTCTAGAGCATTCTAGAAAAAAAAAAAAAACGTTGTAAGGAAGCATTCTCTGAAGCGTTGTGAAAACGTGCTGAAACATTCTCTAGAGCGCATTCTAGAGCGTTGTAGAGCATTCTAGAGAGCATTCTAGAGCATTCTAGGAGCATTGTAGAAAAAACTAGAGCATTCTGAAACATTCTAGGCATTCTAGAACATTACAGAACGTTGTGGTACATTCTAGAGCATTCTAGAGCATTCTAGAGCGTTGGCAAAACATGACTAGAAACATTCTAGGCATTCTGAAGCATTCTATAAAATTCTGAGAAAAAAAAAAACATTCTAGAGGCATTCTCGAAAAAACTAGAGCATTCTAGAGCGTTGTGGAGCATTCTAGAGCATTCTAGAGCATTCTAGAAAATTGTTCTAGAGCGTTGTGGAAACATGAAAAGCATTCTAGAGCATTCATGGAAGCGTTGTAAGAACGCATTGTCAGAGCATTCCTAGAGCGTTGTAGAGAGCATTCCTAGAAACCATTCTAGAAACATTCTGGAAACATTCTAAAAAATTGTGAAACATTACAGAGCATTCTACAGCATTCTACAAACGTTGTAGAGCATTGTAGAGCATTCTAGGCGTTTAGTAGAGCATTCTAGAGCATTCCTGGAGCATTCCAGAGCGACCTAGAGGCGTTGTAGAGAGCATTGGACAGAAACCGACAGCATTCCTAGGCGTTGGCGAAACGTTATGTCGAGCATTCTAGAGCGTTGTGAGAGCATTCTAGAGCATTAGAGCATTCTAGAGGCAATAAGCCTTTAGTTCACTACGAAACCACAAGTAATTTTTCAGCATTACTCTTCACGAGCGGATTTTTTCTAAGGTTCCCTTTATCTCACTGATTCGGCATCTGGATCGGTTTATTGGAAAAATTGATGAACTTTTACGTGGCTCAGTTTTGTAGTGAGTCTAAATGACGATTTGATTACGGTAAAATTTGCATTTACAAAGTGAAACCCGTTGACCATTTATTCCTTGCGGCTGTTTGAAATCACAAGAATCGACATGGGAGCTGGAATCCCGCCTGTGTTTCAAGACTCGGGAACATTCGGCTGGGGCGGCATGGGATGAAGCTATGGAGCATGGGATGAAGCTATGGAGCAAAGGATGAAACTATAGACAAGGGATAAGCTATGGAGCATGGATGGAGCTATGGAGCGAGGGATCGAAACTATGGGGTATGGGATGAAGCTATGGGACATGGGATGATGGGCTTATGGAGCATGGGATGGAGCTATGGAACAAAGGATAGAGCTATGGAGCAAAGGATGGAGCGGCTATGGAACCCGGGGAAAACCTCTCAAAACCTCGCCCAGACGTTTCCTTGGTTTTGTCCAGCTGGATCAGAAATCATCATTGCCAGGTATATCGACTTCTGATCTCTATCCCAGACACAATGCGTACATACGGTCAATCGCTGCCGACCAAGAGATCCCACGCGGACGAGTGCAAAAAAGGGGTGCCAAGTGAAGGGTACCCTGGGAAATGGAATGATGGCTAGAATAGCCTTCATTTTAGATCTTACCTTGAAACTTTTAATTTCCCCATAAAAAATCCTCAAAAAGCTCCTCCAAAAAATCCCATAAAATCAGTACGAGAATTCTTGAAAAACAACTTAAACAAGTCAAAACTCTGTTTACGATTTGTCGCTGGCGACTGTTTGAGAGCCACAAGAATTGAGAAATGAAGCTGGTGACATCACTGCTGTCACTGCTGTCACTGTGACGTCGCTGCTGTCACTGTGACGTCACTGCTGTCACTACTGTCACTGTGACGTCACTGCTTTGTCACTACTTTGTCGCTGTGACTGTCCACGCTTCAACAATCACTTCAACAGTCTCTCAATCAAACAAAAAATCAAGCAACTTTCTAAATTGATGTTGCATTTAAAATGGCAAAATTTCAAAATTTCAGTTTCAGAGAAACAATTCATTCAGTCCAATTCAATTCAAACCCCAAATTCGACCTTATAAATGAAAATTGAACTAAGCAAGGCTTGAAGTTCAAGTGCCAAATCTCTCTTTATAATAAGTTGGAACTAGAGTAGACCAAAAGCGGTGCGCCGCCAGAGTCCCCAGCGCCACCCCCGACTTATCACCCAATTGTGCTAACCACTAAACCACAACGCGGCTGGTTCCCCTACTGATAACTCTATGGTACGTTTAGTATCTAAAATTTCACCAAAACTGTTTTTAAATCAATTTTTAGATCTGACGACGCGTTTCCCTTGCCACGCTGACGCTAATGAACACAATACACAGGAAAACGGATGTTCGGCGGGAAAACAAAATTTTGAGGTGAGGGGTTTAGGTGGTCTAAAGTGAACATTTGATTACGGTAGTTTGATTGTTGGATTAAATTGGTTGGTTGGTTGGTTGGTCCAAAAGTTCAAAACGAGCTTTATTTGCATTGCGATTGCAGGATGACCTCGGGACGGTACCATTCCGTAACGCGATCTCGCATTCGGTGCGGAGAAATGGACAGACAGGAATCAGCGAACATTCACCACTGAAAATCATCCCAATTCAGGTTTTATGCCGAAATCTTTTCCTGTTATTTAAAACAATTCTTTTTGAGCTATCTGATCGTATATTTAAATTACAGGGCTTTCTCCTTGAGAAGCAAAACATTTGGCAAGTACTTTCTCTCATCAAGAGACTTGATAACAGCGAACATTGGAGGTCCATTTAGAGCAAATTGAGAAATTCTGACAAATTCACACACACACACACACGGTAAATCACAACATCAAATACTGAATTTATTAAATAGTGACGAAAATTATTTTTGGTGGTCTCATTGGTTTGATTTTTAAGGACTTTGTTATTTGGCTTCAGAGAAGGTTATAGGCCAACTTTTACCTAGTTTTTAAAAAAATTCAAAGCTATTGAATGACTATAATAGTTGGGACAATCTTCAGAATTTCCTATAAAGTATCAGTAAAACGGTGCTGACTTCGCGGCTGTACGCTCAAAATACGCTGGTTTTCCAACCACTGTAAAGTGCCTTCTAAAATGTCGATGACGGTCTGTAAGCTAGATTGAGGGGATTTGAAATGTTTAAAGATGAGGGAAAATGAAGGGATTTGAAAAAGATTAAACAGCCAAATGGTGGTTTGATTACGGTGAATAATGAAACTTAAAATTAGAAAACAGTCAAAAAATTATAAAAGGTTGAGCCTGTAGGCCGGAATGGAAAATCTTGAGTCAGGGCCGATTCTCAAGGCCACCTTTCTCCAGAAGACCTATGGGGTGGCAACGGTGATTCTAGGACTTGAGCCTGATTCCGGCCGAGCTACTAGGACTTGACTTTAAAAAAACCTTGCCAAATGTGCTTTAGAGTCTCGGTGTGGTTCAATAGCTACACGTCCACGAATCTACAATCGACTTTCGAGGGCCGGTCAGCACGGAAAGCTCTTTACCGGCGATCGCGATGCGCGCTTCTCCACTTTAACAGCTTCCCGAAGTGGGAAATTAAGCAAAAAAATCATAAAAAAAAAAAAAAAAAAAAAAAAAAAAAAAAAAAAAAGTCCATGGGGTTAACCCAGCCCAACCTGAGAGTGTTTACAGTTGGGTTGCGACTGACACCAGTTCAAAACAATAAATTGAAAAAAGCCCAAAAAAAAAAGAGAAAGAATTTTAGATGACATTAAAATTTTAAAGAAAAAAACATGGATAAAAAATATAAAAAGAGAGAAATGAACAAGGAGAGGATACTAAAAAAAGCTGCCATAAAAAAAAAAAAGATTAACCTGAAAAAAAAAAAGATGAGGAGAAGATGAAAAAAAATGAAGGAAGATGAAGGAGAAGATCAAGGAAGATGAAAAGGAAGATGAAAGGCTGATGAAGGAAGATCTCCGAAGATGAAAAAAGATGAAAAAAAGGGAAAGAGCCGTCGGCGGCCGTCGGCGGATCGGCGGCCGACGTCGCGCATCTGGGACACGGGGGAAACATCTGGCGGCGCAAAAAAAAAAAAAAAAAAAAAAAAAAAAAAAAAAAAAAAAAAAAAAAAAAAAAAAAAAAAAAAAAAAAAAAAAAAAAAAAAAAAAAAAAAAAAAAAAAAAAAAAAAAAAAAAAAAAAAAAAAAAAAAAAAAAAAAAAAAAAAAAAAAAAAAAAAAAAAAAAAAAAAAAAAAAAAAAAAAAAAAAAAAAAAAAAAAAAAAAAAAAAAAAAAAAAAAAAAAAAAAAAAAAAAAAAAAAAAAAAAAAAAAAAAAAAAAAAAAAAAAAAAAAAAAAAAAAAAAAAAAAAAAAAAAAAAAAAAAAAAAAAAAAAAAAAAAAAAAAAAAAAAAAAAGGGGGGGGGGGGGGGAAAAAAAAAGAGAGAGAGAGATCGCGCGGCGTCGGGGGCATCCGGCGATCGGCATCGCGGACGTCGGGCATCTTGCGTCACGCGTCCCCGCGCACATCGCGCCCGTGCGCGCGCACGCACCCCTGCGCGTTTTAAAAAGCTCTAAAAGCTAATGTACAAAAATTTCTATTCCCAAGTTCAAATTCTAGGTAATTTGAGGGCGCAGAATCCGAAATTTTGGACTATCAGAGCTTGTCGGAAACGAGGTGGACGGAGTTATACAAAAAGAAAAATCAACAATTTTCTGTAATTTGACCCACAACCGTTTTGTCTTTCAAATTGATTCCACAAGCTCTGATATGCCAAAATTTCGATTCTGCGCCCTCAAATCTCCGAAAAGTAACTTTTGGGCGGAATAGAAAGTGGTTAATATTAAGCTTTTAGAGGCTTTTCAAAACGCGAAAAAAAGGTGCGCTAATGGTGAATGGACGGAAAAAGGTGCGCAAATCCCCGGGTGCGAAAAGGTGCGCTAATGTCCGGGTTTCCCCAAGGTCCGCATTGTCCCCCTCCCAAATAAATGAATGAAAAAATGAAAAAATGTGATAAGGGAATTTTGTCTGGGGTACGGTAAAACTCGCCGCCGTTTTCGCGTCAAAACAAGTACGTCAATGAAAAAAAAAAAAAAAATCCTTTCAAATCATTTGTATCATTGTTAAGGTCATTATGCAGTTTTCTCCAACGTCTATAGGTTTACAGGTGTGCTTTAATTTCTAATTGTCTTTTAATCTAAATTGAACTTAAATTTCTAGATGTGCCCAGGAGAACGCGATGCATGAGGAAAAAAAAGCCGATGGAGAGTTGATGATGGCACTTTGCGAAGTACCCACAATGACGATCACTTCTGATCTTTTGGCGGAGTGAGTGGCTTTTGTTTAGCAAAGGATCCCCCCGCCGAGATCCGCTTGAAAAGATCCACTAGCAAGGATCACTCAGCAAGGATGCTTCGGCAGAGGTCAAATGGCAGAGATCCATTAACAAGGATCCACCAGCCAGAATCCCACTGGCAGAGATCCACGCTGGCTTGAGATCACCTTCTAAGGATCCCACCTAGCAAGGATCCCCTAGCAAGGATCCCACTGGCGGGGATCCCGCTGGCCGAGAATCCCACTAACAAGGATCCGCCAGCAGGATCCACTAACGAGGATCCACTGGCGAGGGGTCCGCGTGGGAGAGGTCCCGTGCCAGGGGATCCACTGGCGCGGGGGGGGGGGGGGGGGTCCCGCTGGCAGAGATCCGCCAGCAAGGATCCGCCAGCAGGGTCCCCCGCCAGGGACCCACTAGCAGAGATCCACTGGCAGGGATCCACTAGCAAGGATCCACTAACCCGGGATCCACCAAACAGAGATCCCCCTCCGTAAGGATCCCACTAGCAAGAGGTCCACTAAGCAAGGAATCGCAACAGAGATCCACTAACCCAGATCCACTTTTTTGTTTACTTTAACTTTACGTTTTTTGTTTTTTTGGTTTTGGTGCTCTTTCAAATGATTTCCTTTTTTAAAATCATTCAAGATTCAGATGACCGAAAATCTCGAAGCGTTTAATCCGAATTCCTCTTTTCCCGTCGAAAATCCCTTTGTTAACACTTTTTCACAGCAATCGTTCAACTTTTCCTGAAACATTGGCCGCGAAGGTGCGGACAGTCTACAGGGTTGAGATCGTCAAGGTCAAAGTGGAAATTGGGTTAAAAACAAAAGCTTTTGTTGCGTTTTAGGCATGGGGGTGAGCGGAATACAGTCTAGGGATCACTGTTTTTTGCTGCTTGAGCATTGAATTGGGTAGATTAGAGTCTGGAGTACTGTTTAAAAACAAAAAACAAAGAAAAAAACTCGGTGAAAACATTGAAGAAAACGTCGTTATTCCCTCTCTCTCTTTTTTTTTTTTCCCAATTTTGGATTCCAAATTCACTAAAAAAGTCCAAAATTTGGGCCAGTCCGGAAGAGGACCCGGGACCTCTCTTCGCACCCCCCCTAGAATCATACCCACTAGACCAACTGGCCGTGCGTCGCGGAAAGAAGGAAAAGGGGTTTTCTTTCGGGAACGAGGGGGAAAAGGCGATCGCCAGGAAGAAAAGAAGGGGAAAAGAGGAAATGCTTTGAAAAACGTTTTTTAAAAAAAACAATTTCAAATTTACACTGCTTTTAGACTTAATTTTATTATAAAGTCGATTGATAATTAGGAAATTTACATTAAAAAAAAGCAAAAATTGATAAAAAATAAGGAAAAAAACAGCTTTGAAAACAAAATTGAACGGCTGCTTTACCCGGATCGAAACCCGGGATGCCCGGATTGAGAGCCAG